CCCCAAAACCCCAAAACCCCAAAACCCCAAAACCCCAAAACCCCAAAACCCCACTTTGTACACTCTATATTGAAACGTTCTAGCTATTGCCATTTAGAGGAAATTTATGCATGAATCAGAGCCAAATAAGAGTTTATTATATTAACCAAGGTTCATGGTTTGATGGTCAGAACTCTTGGAGATAAACTCAACTTCTGAAACTTTTTCGAAATATTGCTAATCAACTCAGAACCATAAATGGAAAGTTTCCTATGAGACTATTCAACTTTCTAGAAGGACAATTTATGTTATGAGTTCACCAGCAAGAATCGAATTTGTACACTTTGAAATAAAAAGTAATTACTCAGCTTGTCGGATATCCTCGATTCCATGGGAGCTGGGTCTCATTTCAATCACCACATATATTTAGGGTCTCCTCCCTAGTGGGGATTTTCTATTAAGCGTAGCTTAGTAGGCAGCATAGCCTAAACATTCATGATCTAAATTGAAAATTTCCGAAAATACTCCTTAGAGTCGAGTGAAAAACTGAACCGAATTTCATTATGAATTCTTTATGCTCTGTGGTCGGTTTCTTGGCAAACTTTTGGAGTGCCAAAAAGATTCTAGAGATCAGCCAAATGAATTATTTCATTCTGAACTCATAAGAATCACGATGTTTAAATTACATAAAACTCCTCGAAATTTTCTCTCTGAGCTAATAGTACCAATTGCCTATTATTCCATCATTTTCTGAGATATCAATAAACGGCGAATGGTACCAATTCGATCATTTTTTAATACACGTAGAGGATGATAGGAGAAAATTAGGGCCTCTAACCAATTCAAATGAACTAACACCTAGCAAGAAACTAAGAACGATAAGCTTATATATTCTGAATTTTTCTATTCCAAATGAAGACCAATTTTTGGTCGTCCTATCATTCTTATATCCACTTTTTGGTAGGTCGAACCAATAATGACTAAACCATCAGAAAATTGGTTCGATTAAGTTTAAAATGCCGCTCTCCCTGTTGGTGACCAATTTTAGTTAAAATTTATTAATGATAAGTTAAAAGTTATGAATATTAATAGATTCAGCCATGTAACTGGAGAATTAGTTTTTGGAGGTCATGTCCTGTAGCTTCATTAATATGTTCACCGATGGCTCATGCTTATTAAGGGATAGCCTTGGTGGGCACTTGCTACTTTTGAATTGTTGTCTAGGTCTTGGTCTATTCTTAATCACACCAAAAGAAGGAAGGCCTTCTCCTCTCTCGTTAATTTGGTGAATAGATTCGATATACGGATCGAAGCTGGTTGCGAACTTTTTAGAAAGCTTAACTCTTAATGGATATGAAGGAGAACAGTCACTTGAACCAATATGGTGAACCTGAACATCTTCAGAATCAACAATAGATCAGTCACATTCTTCTTCCAACTCTTTCATCAAGATTGATTTATCTTTATCGCTCATTTAGTGTTTTTATTTAATTTGTATAACTTCGGGTGTTATTTTATTTATATTGTCTGGGGTTTTGGGGTTTTGGGGTTTTGGGGTTTTGGGG